TGAAAAAACAGCAGCAGCTGCATTTGTATATAAGTACAGACTGGAAAGTACACTATTTTTTCAATACTCATTCTTTCTTATCCACATGATGCTAAATTTCAGATTCTTAAAAGTTAAGTTTAGGATAAATACATGGTAAGAACACTGACTGCGTTTTAACCAACAAACTCGGGAAATGGTGTCTTCAGCAACTGAACCAGAAAACCCTTTTGGTTTTACCATGTCCCTCCTTTGTTGTGGCACAAACTTGAAACGATCTGTGAGCAAGCCATGGGAGCACAGGCTTTCCTGCTGCAAGCTCAAGTTAGACCCAGCTTCCCTCTTCCCATCGACATTGGCCTGCTGGTTATGTCGAAAACAGGACACAAGTAGAAACGATGACAGTCACTACAAGTCCAAAGGAGAGAGGAGCAAACCCAAAATCCACGGTTTATTAATATTCATTCATGAAAACTCAATTCATCTATCCTATACATTGCTACTCATTGTACCTGTTAAAACAGACAGTTTATATAAGTTGTAAGTTGATATATGTTGTAAGGCACTATGTCATCACATTAAAATGAAGGCAGAAAAAAAAACAAAAAAAAAAAAAAGAAAAGCATATTCAGTTTATTCTGAGGGCTTTTACTGCTCATGTTATAGAATATTTTCACATTGTAGGGAAGAATGACTGTATTATACATAGTCCCACCACATGGCCTTGCTGGAAGGGTTGGGGCCATACAGCTTTAAACAAGGTTTCTTAAGCATTTCCAACAATGTCAACCCACACTTAAAACACATGGATTTTAAGTAATAATAGGAGAATTTTCTGCAGTGATAAAAATGACAGAAAATATTTCAGCTCTACTACAAGCACGTGCAACAAATTTTCTGTAAGCATTTGGCATCTGCTGTTCAGTGAGGCCTCCTATAGCTTTTGCATTTTTACAAGTTTTTTTTTTTTTTAAGCATTTGTTACACAATTTCCTACTTCAGAGGCTATTTATTCTCAAAAGAAACTGGTATTTGCCACTCAAACCAGGCTACTAGATTAACACACCCTGGTTCAATCTACATCTTTCCTACACCTCTGAATAAAATGCATGGTAAACATCTTAGTGAATGCATAACACATATGCAGTAGGCATAAATGTTTTTTAAAATATATATATATTTTTTTCCACTTTGGGCGATAACGTGCACAATTGAGGTATTCCTCTGCTACTGAGAAAGTTTTGGTGCCTAATGATGTTGTGGAGTTAACTGGCTGTTTGTCACCAGTGGGAGGATGAAGAAAGAAATTACTCACCTTTCCTCCTCCTCCTCCACTTCAGAAAATTACCTCAGGGTTGGGTAAAAGGCCCAACAAGACAAACCCTCCCATGCAGAGGTTGTGACGCTAAGTTAAAGCCAAAAACCAGAAAGCTGGGGGAGGGCTCAACTAACCAAAGCACCCAGGCAATCACCAGGTAAAGTCTCTGTCCTCAGGTGGCTCCAGAGGAAGCTGAGGGATCCCCTCCTGCTGCTCTCGCCAGCTGAGCACCAACAAAACCTCAGATTCCCAACTCTACGGCCAAGAAGCTGGCAGCAGCAACACAATCATGCTTGGGAGCAGCGGGCTCGCAGCAACATCCATGAGTGCTTGCACCAAAAATACCCTTCCCACTTGCTCTCACACTGCACTCCTTCCCGTCTTCTCACCTTTTTTAAATAGGAAGCCTATGCATTTATTCATCTTCTTCATATGTCATGTGGCTCATCCTGAATCACTGAGAATAAATACTATATTAGAACCTAAGTAGCTATTAAAGATACTTTTTAACTATTTTCTATGAGCAGCAACATGCATCTACTCTTTTGGAATCAATGTAGCTTCGTAAAAACAAAAGGCAATGTGAATATTGTACTTCACATATCCAAATATCACCACACACCATGCTCATTTATTTTAATTATTTTTAGTCACTAATTTTTCAAAAAGATCAGCTTTAAGAAATATTTTGTTTTGAAAGTAGCCCTCTTACTTCCATGACAAAAAATAGCTATTTCTGTCTAATTTTCAGCTATTGCAGCAAATTCAAAATAACTGGTTGGTCTTAACTTACTCCCTGTTTCTTCTTTAGGAAATCTCTTAAGTAATTCAAGATTTTATTAAAAGCAGCTTATAAATACTGTTGCCCACAAGACTGAAGGTACGTGTACTTTCCTCAGGGCACAGACTTTATTTGTAAACAGGCAAAGCAACAAGGCTAGTACATTTTGACAACCAAACAAAAAAAGTGTGTTATTAAATCACATCCCGTGAAAATCATCACCTTGCTTGTTTTTAAAGAAAGTTTCAGAATTGTACTTGACTGAGAATAACCTTTCATACTTTTATTTATTTTTAGGTTATTTATGGAGTACGAAAACTATTCCTAAATTCACTTAGAAGATGGCATTGGCAAATGAGCACCCTGAAGAATACAGGATCGCATCACTGGTCTTCTACAGCTTCCTGTTTGTTGTGGGACTGCTAGTGAACGCCACTGCGCTATGGGTTTTCAGCTGCACTACCAAGAAAAGAACAACTATAACTGTGTACATGATGAATGTGGCATTACTTGACTTGATTTTTGTCTTTTCCCTGCCTTTTCGGATAATCTATCATGGGAAAGAGACATGGCCTTTTGGAGATGCCTTCTGTCGCATTATCAGCGCCCTCACTGTTTTTTACCCAGCCATCGCCCTGTGGTTGCTTACTTTTATAAGCGTAGACAGATTTATGGCTATTGTCCAGCCCAAACATGTTAAAGAGCTAAAAAATACGAAGAAAGCTCTGTTGGCTTGCACTTTAATCTGGGTAACGACCCTCGCAACAACTTCCCCACTGCTGTTTTTATCTTCAGATCCAGACAGAGACTCAAATTTTACCACCTGCATTAAGATGCTGGATATCATCTACTTGAAGGAAGTGAATACATTGAACTTTTCCCGTCTGATTTTTTTCTTCTTAATTCCTCTCTTTATCATGATGGGGTGTTACTTAGTTATTATTTACAATTTTATCCGTGGCAAAACTTCCAAGCTGAAGCCTAAGGCCAAGGAGAGATCCATTAGAATCATAGTGACTTTAATTGCTCAAGTACTCCTTTGCTTTGTACCCTTCCACATTTGCTTCTCCTTCCTGATGCTGCAGGTTGAAGATACAACTTACAACCCCTGGGCAGCCTTCACCACCTTTCTCATGAATCTCAGCACGTGCTTAGATGTTATTCTGTACTACATTGTCTCCAAGCAATTTCAGGCTAGAGTCATCAGCGTAATCCTTTATCGAAATTACCTTCGAAGTGTGCGCAGGAAGAGTTTTCGAACTGCAAGTGTAAGATCACTCAGTAATTTGAACAGTGAAATGATATAAGGGGGAAAAAAGGTCAGTGGAATATTATAATGTGATCAAATAATTCTCTTCCTGAATTCTAGCATTTTTAACTACATTGAAGAATGTTCTGTACCCAGAAGTAACAGATGCATTGGTTGCATTGTAACTGTGAAATAAACAGGGTATTAACCGCACTTCTTCGTATTTGCTTAACACTTTTTATAAATCTGGAATGAGCTAAAACTGCTGTCCAACATTCCTCTCTAAAAATAGTAAATATTGCAGGATATGAAAGAGTGACTATTAGTATAATAAAGCACAACCTTGATTTTCATATATATATATATATATATATATATATAAATAAAATATTTGCATAGATAAGTTTACCTGAAACTATGTAATTTAGGCTTCTGAGTCAGCTTCATTAACCCAAAATCAATATATCAATATGATTTATGAGGAAGTATATATAGGTGACATTTATAATTCATTTGCCTAACAAATTAACAAGGTTTTTTTTTTTGTGACCGACAACACTCTGCAATCGTAGATAAAAATGTCATGAAAAAGTAAAATAGTTAACCCGTTCATTAGTTTCCTAAGTGAGTGATGCACACATTACACCCTCTTCTCACACTAAGTATCTTTTTACAGGGTTGAATTTACTGAATCTATCCACACATATTAGCAGCTCAGGTCCCTGCAATAGGCTTTAAAGTAGCAAACATCATAAAAATAACTGCAGTATTAACTCAAGCTTTCAACTCTTTTTGAATACACACATACTGCAAGAAATAGAATTACTTTTATAATATCAAAAACACATGCTTTTTCTTCCTTATAAAATCCACTTTTATCTACTTCCAAGAGACATACTATAGAACTTGAAACCAGAAAACCTTGTATGGGATTCAGCATTAAAAATTTGTCTCCGAGAGCTATTATTATTACCTCAGAGTCTGCAGCATATGGAAACCCAGGCTTACATTGAGACTGGTCTCGCATGTCAGAAGCTTAACCACAAAGGCTCTGCAAGCTCTCCAGTTCTACTCTAACACACACTCTAACACAGTGAGAGTAATCTCTTACCAGTAAGTGCAGAAATCTCAAAAATAGGTTACATGAAATGGAACCACTGAATACCTTAAAGCTTCAAATGAAAACGCCAAATGTAATAACAGGCTCTAGCACTCAGTTTTGGAAACACAACCACATGAAATACCAATATGAAATGCCTGTAACCATATGTACATTTTAAACTGAACACCAGCATATGACATGGTTAACTTTGTAATTTAAGAAAGAAATCAGCACCAAATTTGAGATTTATTGAACAGAAAAAACAGTAATATCCTGCAGCGCACTGCAAGCCACATTTCAATCACACCAGCAGTGAAATGGGGACTAACAGAATGAAAAGTAAGCATTATATGGATTAATTATTAATAAATTAAAATAGATCACAACCAGGAAATGAATATTCTGAAATGTAATAGGTATGCCATGACATTTACACAGTAGTTCAAAAGAGGATCAAATTTAATTTGAAATTTGATTGAAAAGTTTTATTGACTAAAATCTGCACAAAATAATCCTTTGAATCTACATCCAAAATTACCAGAACTGAACCACCCCATTAAGAGCTACTTACAAACCAGAAGGCAAAACATTGATGGTGAAGCCAAATATATACTGAGCAAGTTCCACAAGGAGAAGGTCAAACAAAGCTGAGAGCATCCAGGCACCCAGTAAAAATGACTGGAGAAGGAAAAAAAAAAAAAAGAAAAAAGAAAAAAGAGATACAACCCAAACAGGTTAGTTGCATTTGAATTCAACTGTTTAAAATTAAGGTTTTAATGCATTTCTAAAAAAAAAAAAAAAAACACTCTTATTTATTCAGTCAGATGTAGCTTTTAGTACTGCATAATTCCACATTTAAATGGCCAGATACTGATGAAAAAGTCTTAAAATTTCATTTTGACAGGCAATCTCTGGTTCCAGTAACTTTCATTTGATATTGTTGCAAGCATTAGTTAGTAATCCACTGATTAGATAAAAAAACAATAAATTTTGGTTTATAGAAATAAATTCACTTTTAAACCCTTTATAATATATTTCCACACAAAACATTAGCAGTAAAGTCGTTAAATCCAAGACTAAAAGATTCTAAAAGGTACAGAAAATAGTTTATATTAAAAAAATGTAACTGGAACTTACTGAAAATTTTCTGCTGCCATATCTTCTTTCAAATATTCTGAAGTTATAAATGAGCAGACTGCTGCAGAATGTGTCTTTCAGATCAAGGCATACTGTTCTCCCACATACAAGTCTCCAAATCTAGAAAGTTAAACATTACCATGTTAATCTCTCCTCCCTGCCTCATAGAAACTCTTTACAGAATTTGGTCCCATAGCAAGAGTAATACTGAAGAAAGATAAAACAAATATGTTAAAACAGTTAAGCAGAAAGATAGACAGAAGAACGTTCAGCAGTAGGGTGCCAGAAGCTTGTTTAAAAATGGAACAGTTTTCTAGGAAGAGGGTTTTTGATAAAATACACTAACAATTTAAATCAAGTCAAATCCATTTTTATGACCCCTGTTCGCATTTACAAATAGAAATCATAACCCTAGTTAATCGTAGAACCAGAGTTATTTGTTTTTGAAGCGACTGGAAAAATCATTTAGTCCAAATGTAATGCTCAAAGCAGGTGCAATCAGACCAGCTTGCCTGGAGACTCATCCTATTGTGTCCTGAACATTCCCAAAGATGAAGAACCTCTTTGGGCAATGTGTTCCAGTGTTTTCCTACCTTCATGTTTAGAAAGGACAGGACAGGACAGGAAAGGAAAGAAAACCACACATATATCTAACTGTAATTTCCCATGTTCCAGCTTGTTTCAACTGCCTCTCATTCTATTGCTGCCCACCTCGAAGTGCCTGGCTCCAGCTCTATACCCTTGCAGACAGCAAACTTGTACGTGCAGGCAGCAAGAAGGTGCTTCTCTTTGCCTTCTCTTCTCCCATCTGAAGAGACCCTGTTCTCTTGGCCCTTCCTTGCACGTCATGTGCTGCAGCTCTCTAATCATCTGGTGCACTTTCCACCATGTGTCCGTGTCTTTCCTGTACTGTGGTGCCCAAAACAGGGCACAGTACTGGTGCTCTAGATGTGCTCTTACAGACAGACAAAAAGGATCCTTTGCCTGGACCTTCTGGCCAGACTCTCACTAACACAGCCCACATGGCTGCTTGGCTCTGTGGTCAAGAAAGCCCTTTTTCCAATCACAAGGTACATCCACCAATTTCCATGATCTTTTGAAGATGTCAGGAAGAGGCCTCACGATTCCATTTCCAGCTCCTTTGGCACCACTGGAGCCATCAGGTCCCACTGAACTGTGTGTAGCCAGGTGATGCAAGTGATTCCTTACTGTCTTCCCCTATGGGTCAGGGCTGTATCACTCCCACAAGCTCTGGTAGGAGGCTCAGCGGCCTTTAAAGCTTGGGGACAAATCTTACCATAACAAACGGATGCCAAAAAGGCAGGGAATGTTTCAGTCTTTTCCATGTCCTTTCTCACTAAGTTGTCTCCCCACCGAGCATAACATTCATCTTTTACAGCTTAGAGGCTACAGTCAAGATCCTCAAAGACATTCAGCTGACTAAATATTTATTTGGCTATAAAACCTTTGGGGAATGACAATTACAGAGGCATTTGCTGACCTTTCTCTGCTCCACAACAGTGCGCTGCTTCCAAACAAGTTAAAAAAAAAAAAAAAAGGCAACAACAAACATACCTAGTGACATTTCTAAATGCAGGCTCTCCACCATTAGACTGATATCACAGAACTCCTTAATTAAGCAGAGAGTAAAATCTTTTATGGCGTAATGCCTAAACTAGATAAGCTGCAAGTGTCCAATAAGATAACTAATTCAGCAGATTATTGAGGAGTATGACAAGTTCTCCATCACTTGGAGACCTCAAATTGGAAACAGCTAACAAATTTTAGTTTCCCATAATTTCTGAAAGCAGAAGTTAAATGTATGGCCTCTGTTCTTAAACAAAACAATTTATAATCAGAGTAGCTGATCATAAATAACCTTTTTCAGCTTCAAAATGAACATAGTAATGACATTCATATCAAAATATTTACATTATTACATGTGTTAATTCACACTTCATTCACAGTGAGCTTCCAAACTGTCAGTGGCTGGAAGGAGAGAGGATACAAAAATAACCATTTCCCAAACAACAGGATGATATCAACAGCTTCAGATGAGTATTTCTCATTTCTACCAAAAAGTGGGTAATATCCTGTCACATACCATGGCCCACCAGAGTAGCGTAGTAAAAGGTAAAGAACAAGTTAGTCTAAGACAGTGAAAAGGGAAAAGGGGAAAAGAAAGCACAGGAGAGAGAAGAAAAGCTGCTAGGAAAAAATCGTACAGAAGACTATTTTAATTTTGGGTTAAAAGACATCGCAACTGACTCTTACCTGAAAATCCTCCTTTATAGCTTGTAGGTTATATGCAAAGAACTTCTGATAATGTTGGAAGAGTAGAGTCAATAGAATTGAGAGGGCACTTGGGACTAGTAACAGACTCTTCGACAAAGGTGCTTTATCTTAAAGACAGAAAGCAAAACAAATGTCATTTTAGAGAAAAAAGTCTCACTTTTTAAAATATGTTGACACAGTGAGACGAACGACTGGAACACATAAATGCAACAGCATCTTGGCTTTTTTAAAATCTTAATAACTTGCCTTCCAAGGAGACAGGAAAAAAAAATGCACCAACCAAGGATAATCTTTCCCAGTTGAACATTAATCAGATTTTTTTTCCAATATTTCTCATGGAATTAATTGTCTGGCTAAAAATCAGATCAAATCAAGGTTCTCTGTACCTATGAAGGTCGTGCAAGGTCCCTACACAAGATATCACAACATTGCAGGGGAAAAAAAAAAGCCTCTTCTTGCTGAGCCATACCTGTACATAGCAACATATACATGGAAATCTAGTCAAGACAAATATATGCAAATCCTTTGTTTCAGGGATTAGGATTAACTTCTGCTCTGGAATCTATGAATCAGGAACCACCTGTGAAAATGTCCCAATTCATCACATTCATATCTACCACTCAAGAAAATATGTTTAAGTTAGTTTATATAACAACCATACATGTGAATGACAGACATCCAAAAATCATTACAGCTATTAAGGAAGAAATTAATAAAACAGGGAAGTCTGTGAAATCAGAATTTCTCTCCCCTACAAGCATGACTTTCAAGCAGAGAACCTTTTCAACACACATTTACTAAAAACTGTCTAGTGGAATATCCAATGCGATATATCCAGCAGTTCACCCCAAGCTGTGTCCATATAGTTGTGGCAACGGAATAGAAACTCTCACCCAACAATTCAAGCCAAAGCAGAAGTTGAAATATTATTATTCTATGACTTTTCTCCACTTCAGACATGCAACTTTAATAACGTTTTACTGCCTTCCCAAAGATCCTAGTTATAGCACGGGATGCATTGATTTATGGACAACTGCTCTTTTGCAAGGTGTTACTGTGAAATTATTTTTAGGTAACAAAAGGAATGATATGACTAATTTAAAAGTACTAACAGGAAGTAAAGCATAAGAGTGCAGAAAACCAGTAGTATAAGAAGCAATGTAATACAGCAAACATTTAGTATGCATCCAGATAAAGTGACCATCATAAGTGATTCACTCAACAACATCTGCTCCACACTGGAAGAATGAATTGCTGGAAAAGGAATATGACAGTAGGCACCAAAGCCAAAATTTTATGGTACAATCTCACTTCCAGCAAAAATATGGCATCACTTTATGTAACTTAAGCATGACCCTTATCCACGTATTAACTGATGGCTTCAAAAAGAGTATTCTTGGAAGCATTAGCTAGTCTCAGTTCATATCATCTTGAGGTTTTCACCTTGAAGTCATGATTCTTCTGACATTCACCCTTAGTGGAGAAAATATCTTTTCCTACATGCACCATATCATAAATTCGTACTTAAAACTATTCTTTCTATTCCCAACTATACTTACAGTTTCATTATTTATTTATTTATTATGGCTGGATGGATGAGGGGAGAGCAGCGGATATTGCCTACCTTGACTTCAGCATGGCTTTCAACACCGTCTCCCACGGGGAAGCTCAGGAAGTGTGGGTTAGATGAATGGACAGTGGGGTGGATTGAGAACTGTCTGGATGGCAGAGTTCAGAGGGCGACAATACTTGGAGGCCTGTGGCCAATAGTCTCCCCTGGGGTCAGTACTGGGCCCAGGGCTGTTCAACTTGTTCATCCATGACTTGGATGAGGGCACAGAGTGCTCCCTCAGCAAGTTTGCAGATGACACCAAACTGGGAGGAGTGGCCAACACTCCCGAGGGCTGTGCTGCCATTCAGAGGGACCTAGACAGGATGGAGGGTTGGGCAGAGAGGAACCTCATGAAGTTCAACAAGGACAAGTGCAGGGTCCTGCACCTGGGGAGGAACAACCCCAGGCACCAGTATGGATTAGGGATTGACCTGCTGGCTGGAAAGCAGCTGCGCAGAGAGGGATTTGGGAGTCCTGGTTGACAACAGCTTAACCGTGAGGCAGCAATGTGCCCTCGTGGCCAAGAAGGCCAATGGGATCCTGGCCTCCATCAGGAGTGTTGCCAGCAGGTCGAGCGGGGGGATCCTGCCCCCTCCTCAGCTCTGGTGAGGCCACACCTGGAGTACTGGGGGCAGTTCTGGGCTCCCCGATACAAGAGGGACATGGAGCTTCCAGAGAGAGTCCAGCGTAGAGCAACAAAGATGATTAAGGGCATCTATCATATGAGGAAAGACTAAGCAAGCTGGACCTGTTTAGCCTGGGGAAGAAAAGACTGAGAGGGGATCTTGTCAACATGTACAAATACCTGCGAGGAAAATGTAGGGAGGATGGGGCCAAACTCTTCTTCATGTTGGCCAGCAACAGGACAAGGGGTAATGGGTATAAATTGAAACACAGGAAGTTCCATCTCCACGTTAGGAAGAACTTCTTTCCTGTGAGGATGAGGCTGCTCAGAGAGGCTGTGGAGTCTCCTTCTCTGGAGATCTTTCAAACACACCTGGATGACACCCTGTGTCACATGCTCTAGGTGTTCCTGCTGGAGCAGGGGGGTTGGACTACATAATCTCTAGAGGTCCCTTCCAACCTCAACCATTCTGTATTTTATAGATTCATTTTCTCCATTTAAATCATCAACGCTTCTGAAGATCTGGCCTTTCTTTTATAGATATTAGCTAGTGCCTTGAAATCACAAAGGTTTAGTTTTCTCATTAGTGTGATACATGAGGGCAGAAAGCCTGGTTGAGTCTTTTTTTAATATAAGAAAGCTACCCTCCCGTCAATTTAATCTCTATGTCTGGATTTTTGCTCCCCCCAAGTAAATTCTCTGCTCTTTAGACATGCATTATTTTAATTACTCACTCCTGTGATTCAGTTTGATACACTGGAATAACGTAAAACACTGGGAAGGTGAAGACAGCTAGAGCTGCTTGAAAGTTGCTGTGCACACAGTACATGCACACACCCTCTTGCAACTTTAGCTAAAGCTGCTTGGTTAACTCGAGCTCTTGGCAGCAGAGCATCAGTGCTGCTGAACTAAATCACACTTTGCTTTAGCAAAAGCTTGCATTGTTGCAAAGCAGTGACTGCTGTTGTGAGTATCTACTCTTCAGAAGCAGTAGTCTACTTTTTTTTTTTTTTTTTTTTAAACCCTATTTTGGAATAAGACATAACAAAATCTATGTCCTTAAAATATCTGTAATATAACCAAAAACTCCTCTGAAAGCAACAGCAATACATTAGTAAGTTTAGTAATACCAAAGCTCAAACCATCTAAGTCCAACTTAAACTGCTGAGCTTCACTGGTATGACAGCTCAGGGTAACTTACTCCAGTTTAGGAATTTTCTTATTTAATCATCTTGTATTGATCAGCAGCAGAAAGATGGCGTCTGATCCAACATTCAATAGTCCCTCTTCCCAAACTATGTAAGTAGCAAAAAGCAACAAAAAGGTAGAAGGATAGAAGGCCAGCACTAAAATCATCTGAATGTAAGCTGCATATCATAGAGGAAACTCAATACATTAATTTAAATATGAAAAAGTCAGTTTTATAACCATGACACAGCTGATACTCATAAGTAAGCCTAAATCGGAATAGCAATAGTCACCACAGTAGACATTTGTGAAAAAGTTTGATAAAACTTCCTATCTTTCATAAATACATTTATATTTCTTAATTAATTTCCACAAACTTTACCAGAACTCATTAGTCCTACGATAATCTGAATTTAAAGACCAAATTACTGCAAATAATTAACAGTCAAAATACTAGATTTCCCATTGTGAATATATATTTTATACAGACCCTATACTTGTCCTTATATTTCACTGTAATTTCCATATCTGATCACTCTTACTTTAGTTAATACAGACTTAAAGCACGTTACCACAACTTCATTCCTAATTTGAATGTGTTTAAAATTAACTAACCAATAAAACCTGAACTATTTTCTATACTACGTGTAAACATACATATTTTTACTAAGATCCTCTTTTTACGTTTCAGCTTAGACACTTTACATCTCGTCACAGAAGAAATGTGTATCTTATTTAAGTACGTCACTAAGTGAAAAACCACAAAAGCAACTAGCTAACCTATTAATGTGATAGACACCCACAGGGAAAGTCACATCAATAACGGAAACTTCTCCTTTCAAGGTTCTCAAAATACCATCACAGCTGATAAAACTATTCTTGTCCAGTAAACTGAAGAAACAAACTCTTCCAGATAAAAAATTTACACATCTCCTTAAATGTTTCACCAAGTGATTCAGTGCGCAGGGCAATAGTTTACAGCACACAGGTCCTTAGTTGGGATTGCTTTGAGGTCACCAGGGATAGAACAATTCTCCTCTGCTGTGCAGTGCCAGCAGTCTCCAGGCAGACCAAAAATTATTAACAGTATCAGCTGTTGAACAACCATGCTTTTGACAGCCAAGTCCAGTTCTTTACTTAATATACAGAGATAAAATTTTAACCCCAAATTCTAGCCTGCAACATTATTAGCCTGCAACAGGGATAGAGTTCTGAATTACCAACCTGTCTGGGCAGCAGTGGCTACATCAGTGCTAATATAAACATTGGCACAGAGAAAAAACGCAGCATATCTATGCTATGTAAAGTAAGTAGAATGAAAGAATAAACTCATTTTCACACCAAAGGCCCAAGATACATGAAAAAATATCTTCAAAGCCCAGGGAATATATCTGCACCTGCAAAATACCTCTCAAGTGACAAGTCTTTAAAACACCAGACAACAATAATAATGTCTCCCCCACTTACATACTGAGATCTCAGCTAAGTGAATAACTGGGAAATAAGCAGCAAATATGTGGATGTTATGATGCACTGGCTAGCTTTCACCTGGGGGCCTGGAGAAGTTCTCCCTAAAACCAGCTTCATAACCCTACAGGAAAGCATCCCAATCTTTGTGCTGCCATTAAGCAACACAAGATTGATCCTAGAATGGGATACAAACCAAAAAAACAAGATCTCCA